AGATTCGATATAATTGTAGCATAATACACTGTCTCACATGTCAATAATTTTCCCAAATTCCCGGCTTGGTGCATTTCTGGACATGTTCAGAATGTGATGCAGCTTCATTGCGTTCTTCGCGCCACTGACTACACTGACTGACACATTGAAGTGTACAAAAAGGACGATACTAAAGCATGTGCTTGTAACTAGTAGGGTAATGCAGGAGATCATACAACGTATACTTTCAGACAACGCCGCGCTAACATAGGTATATCCGAATCACACATAACGACAAGAAAAGAAAGCAAAAGGTATATCCATCTCACGAATAACTGCCCGCCGCCCAACTCTTTCTGCCCTCCTTCTTATCCTTGCCCTCGAAGAAGATATCCACTTGGTTCGGCTCGCCATTCTTGCCCTCGCGATAATCATACCGAATCTTCTTCCACTTGAGCTTCGGATGGTTTTTGATGTCGTCGCCACTCAAATTCATTCCCGAGCGACCAATACGTGCAACGACAGGACTGAGTAGCATAGCCATGCTGAAGAAGCTCTCGTCGCGCACAATTGTGCGATTCGCGAAAATGATGAGCAGGATGAGCGCGACGAGCTGGATGCCGCAGATACCGCAGAGAATGCAGAGAATGTACGGCCAGTCAACGTCGAGTTGTTGACCTTGAGTCGGGCAAGTGCGCTGACTGGAGATGTTGTAGCGAATGCCGTGGTCGTCGAAGGCTGCGACTGTGCCGATGGTAAAGCGCATAAGCAGGTTTTCGACGTCTTCCGTTGTCACGACTTTGGCGGGCGACCATTTCGAGCCTGGTGAGTAGGTACGTGTTTGACGATCAGTCCAGTTGTTCCATGCGATTCCTGTCCAGCCAATTGCGCCGGCAGCGATGCGGGCAAAGTCGTCATTGCCGTAGACGGCGTTCTCATCCTCTTCAGTTGCTGTGACAATGTCGTCCTTGCCTTTCGCTTTGGAAATATCTGACAATGTGCTATTGCAGAGGAAGAGACCAGGGGTTTTGACAGTATGGTTGTCACTGTCCTGTAGCACAGTAAAATTCGTGCAACGCGAGCCACAATGTGCCTCTGTTGCCGCGATCCAGGTGACGGAGCCCGAGGCCTGCTCGGGGATTTTGTATTTTATCCAATGCTTGCCAGGTGCCTTGCCCTCAATGTACATGCTTCCAAATTCCTCAATTTCTTCGTCGGTAGAAGCAACTTCTCCGCGCACTTCGAGCTGCTCACAGATCGTGGTTGCTTGCACTTTGCGCTCGCTAAGCACGTAATTAGTATACTGATGGGCCGGATCTCGATTAAAAAAGCGATATTCCCAGGATGTGTCGCCCTTGTAGACGGGAGTTCCAGGCAGTGTCGATAGATCCTTCCGAGTCTCGTTCATTAGGAATTCAGGGTAGACCATTGCCTCCATGCCGAACATCCATGCGGTTTCTAATGAGGTAGCATTCTCGTCCGGCTCCTTCTCCACAAACCAGGTGTTCAGATTAGCCACGCTCACAGGGCCGTGGGTCATGAGCGGGATCAAGGAATTCTCGACTGGGAAGAATAAACTTAGCAAGGCGACCAAGATTTGCGATCCAATGTTGATGGAGAGCCACATGAGGCAGACGAGCCACATCCACTTGGTACCATCGTCCCGAGTTTCACGGCCCCATTTGAACCTCCTTGCCCATGATCGTCCTCGTATGCCGGGCATTGAGAGAAACATGAGCTTGGTGACCTTGATAAGCGAGCTTGCATGCAGTATCAGATCAAACGTCTCGAGGTTTACATATCGCCGGCCAAGGAATGACCAACGGAACGTACTCGCGTAGTGCTTGAGGGACGACAGCAGATTCAGACCGAGACACAGCGATAGACCAATCATGAGAGAGTTGAAAACTCTGACATCGATTTTCGAGAGGACGATTGGGGATCCAAAACCTTCCCACGCTTTGAGACAGACGCAGATTAAGGCGCTGAAGATTAGCGTTACAAGAAGTTTGGAGGATCCCTGCTTGAAGAGCCTTTTCCGCGCTTCGTTGTGGTCGAAGCGCTTGACATGGTGGTGGCCAAGATGATGGTGGTGGTCGCCAATTAAAGACTCTTTGTCTGAGTTTGGGTCCATGTCAAAAGTTGACGTCGGTGTGTTGAGGTAGACATAACTCCCGCCCTTGGCCCCACTGATCGAATCAGGAGTCGCGAGAGGAGGAGAGTAGGGCGATGCATCACTGTGCTGCATGCCAAGATCTCCGCTACTGTAAGTCGTGTCGACATGCTCGAAGGGCGAGGTGGGCGAGTTTAGTGGCTGGGTATCGGACCTGCCACTACTCCTCCGGTCGTAATTCATCGTGGTGAATCGTCTTTCTGAGCACAATCCACAAGAAAGCTCAATTCTGCGTCGCGCAGATCCAAGTCGAGAAGCTCCACCACTGGTTCGTGATTCTGCCGCGGAAACTTTGTTGTTCAGCCCTACACGTGAGGGATTCGTCGATCTGCCGTTCGTGCTCAAGACATCCCAAAGATGTCGCCAAGTCTCCAATGTTTAAGAACGGGGAAAGGCGCAGGTCAAGAGTCGAAATGAATGCGTCGGAATGCGCAAATGATCCAGGAAGCGTACTGTTGCGACGAGAGCTGTCGTGGTCCAGGAGGATCTGGTGCAATAGAGCGGAGCGAGCGTGAAGTCTTGTTAAGATTCTCCTGGTTCGACGTGGGTCCCGTGGCGGCGGGCTTGGGGGCTGAACTATGGGGTCCGGAAGCGAGAGGTGGAAGTGTCTAGCCCTGACCTGAAAGCCCACGCAGGAGCGGAAAGGTGCTGAAGGGACAACGCAGAGACAGCTGGAACCGGGTTTAGAGACTTCGGAGAATTTCAATACTCTTGGAGTGAGCGGAACAGTCTTGAGTATGTGCGATCTTTATCGCAAGTCTTAATCTCGCCATAGTGGGGATACTGATCCTGCCACCCTTCAGCGTGAGGCTGATTCCTGCCAAAGGCTGACTCTACAACCAATCGATCTCCGAGGCTATTTCAGGTGCTGTCAGTTGTTGAGCGACTGCTGATTCGCTAGGAGAAGCTAGTTTCGCAGCAGCTGGCATGTGTGCGCGATGTCTAGACCCAGCTGAGGTTAGAACTAAGAAGCAATTTGGGGGCTGAAAGCCGAATCTTGTTTGCGCGCGCAGCACACACCCAAAGTAGCACGTCACGAACATATCGATCCTTGGACGAAGGGGCAGTGCTGATGATAAGAGTCTGTGGACAGTCGCGCGGCGCAGATGTTCAGTTGCTGGTGTCGTGAAGGTGCGCCCGGAGGTTTGGACATGGTGGGGAAGGGGCAAAGCGGGATCGGGTCGCTTCCAAAGGCGCTGCTCCGCCAGCTGAGAACCATCACAACACCTACTTGCGACTTCGCACAAGACTATCTGTTGCGTGACCCATGTCAATAGTAGGATATGGGAATACTTCACTGTTCCATCGAAGTAGAGTGTGATGCTACCAGTAGCCACTAACTGTGCGACTCCATAGTTTCGGTTGGCCCGACGATTGATCCCCGCACCACGAATGGATGACAAATGCTCGACAATGATGCAGAAACACATCGTTTCTTGATGCAGTACACAGTACTTCGTACATTGTCGTAAAGTGCGCGGCCGGTCAATCGAGGTGCGCGGCCGAGTCAGCCTCGATACCACAAAGGGCGTGAGATTGACACCTTCCAGAAAGATAAAGAGACAGCATCAGACATCACGGCTCCGTCATACACGCGCCTTCACAATGTCAGAACAAGTCATCTTTTACGACCTAGCCAATCGCCAAGGCAAAGCATGGTCACTCAACCCATGGAAGAGTACAAATATTTCTGGCAAATTTCAAGCGAATGCTAATCATAGTAGCTCGCCTGGTCTTGAACTACAAGAACATCGATTACAAGACTGAATGGGTAGAGTATCCGGATCTTGCGCCATACTTCAAATCGCTGTAATGCGCTCAGCCATGTACAATATGGGTGTTTGCTGATTGAAGGACAGCGGCATTCCTGCAAACGACCCAGAAGCCCCGGGAGTCACCGCGGCATATAGCTCCCCAGCTATCAAGTACGCCGATGGAACCTTTGGCATGGACTCGTGGCCCATCGCACACGAGCTCGAGAGACGTTACCCAAGCCCGTCACTGCATCTTGATGATTCAATCGTCGTGCGCGTTCGCGATCACATTGGCAATCTCATGAAGCCGATTATCGCACATCTTATCCCCAGGGTGCCAATTGAGTTCCTGAATCCAATCTCGGCGGAGTACTTCAACAGGACCCGCGCGGAGAGGTTTGGTATGACACTACCAGAGTTGGAGCGCACGAAGGCCACCGAGGAAGGCTGGGAAGAGGCAAAGGCACCTGCGAAGGAGATTGGAGATTGGTTGAGGGAGCACGAAGGGCCGTTCTTCTTGGGCAAGACGGGTAAGTGACTATTTATGGCCTGATCTCTAGAGTCGTGTTACTGACTTTTGCACCAGTGTCATACGCAGACTTCATCTTTCTTGGTTTCCTGGCGATGGTCAAGCGCATTGACGAGAAGAAGTTTAAGCGCTACCTTGAGCTTGATGAGGCGTTCCCGAAGCTGTACGAGGCCTCTAAGCAGTGGCTAGAGAAGGATGACTAGGTGTGTGCCGGGTCATTGCTGCCGCCTAGGAATGTAGCCTACAAGCTGAGTATTTCAATGAATCGATGTCATACGCACGCATCATTACGGGTTCGCCGAAGCAACAGTTACATAACAAATGTGTAGCTCGCTCTGGCTTCGACCATGGTGCAATAGATGCCCCAAATAGTCTTTTCCTCCTTCCACAGCTACCACCCACCGCTCTTTCCTCTCTCCAATTATCCATATGCCCCTCCTTCCACGCACTCACCACTACTGCCTTCTCCATTACCCTCACAAGCCAGACCTTTCTTTCCTCCGACATGCCGCGAAGCTCTAGGTATACTAGATAACACTTCGATCTTTCATGAAGCAAGACCACGTCCGATATAGTACAGTGGCCAGTATATCCCGCTCTCAAGCACTCGTTGCAGGGCACCGGGAAGACCAGGGTTCAATTCCCTGTATCGGAGATACTTTTGTATTCTTTTTTATTGTGAGAAGAGCCAGAGCTGTTGGAACCTTTCTGACAATCATAGCAGAGTCTGGCCGTGTTGAGGTTGTCGTCAGAGGACCGACCGCAGTATTGTTTATAGCGACAAAAGGGTAAATCACTTGAGCGAGATGTGCATAGAAGCTGGGATTGAAGGCGGTAACGACAGTGTTTTCTCGGGATTGGCTATATACTATATAATGTCCTCTTGCAAAAAGGAACAAGCACCAAGAAGCGCAAAGGTTGGTCGTGAGCCAGCAACCCAGTATATACAGCAGCGCTACTGAAGCTTTCTGGAAAGAAGATCGGTGGTCAGGTATAACGGACGGCATATGTGTACGGGACCGAGTAGTCAAGTCTAGTGTTCGCATCTATTCCTCGTCCTCGTCCTCATCCTCACCAGGGGTGGGCTTCGGGGGAAGTACGACGCTGCGAGTTGGGCGGACCGAGATGACAAAGGAACGAGTGCGCGAGGGGCGGCTATGATTTTGTCAGCGAAATTCGTGTGTGAACACGATTTGGTGAGGGTTTGTCGGGTGCCATGTGTTTTGTGAAGTGTTCGTAACTTACGCTGGAGGCGAGACGACCGGAGGGAGTGCGCTGCCGGAAGGGCGAGGAGGGATAGCGGGTCCAGATGGGACGGGGGGACGACCACTGCCAGATGGGCGAGGTGGAACAGCAGGGCCAGATGGGACTGGAGGACGACCACTGCCGGATGGGCGAGGAGGAAGGACAGAGGGGAGCGGTCCGCGAGAGAAGCTCGGAAGGGGACCACGGGAGACGCTGGGTCGCGGGCGGGGAGTGAAGACAGGGAGCTCAGGCTCGTCTTCCTGGGGAGCAGCAGCAGCGAGGCTAGAAAAGTCAGCTGAGATATATCTTTGTGGGGTGGCATTTGGTGGTCTACCTGCTGAGGCCGACAATGTACAGAACAGTGGAGAGCTTCATGTTGTTGGGTTTCTAGACTGAGGATCCGAGAAGATGTGCTTGTTGTGTTTGACTTGATGCTGTTCTTCCGTGCCATCCTCTCTCTTATATACACTTGTCGAAGCCAGCTAAAGACGTGAGCGACCTTCCTCTCGCAGGGTGAACAAATGGAATGCGGCCTGAAACTCCGTTTATCCGTCTTTCTATCCGCTGAACTTGATGCGATTGCACCCTTTGCATTGCGAATGCGAGCTTCAGCTACATTCTCAGGCCTGAGGCAAGACTATTCAGTATTAGCGAGATGACTTTTCATGTTTTATGATGTGACTGCAGGAAAAATCACTTTCGCGAAAGGGAAAACAATTTGAGTAAATGGATTCGACTGAAAATTGGCCGTGATTCATGGTCCGCATTGCGTCAGCTAGGGTGTTGGTTCCTGGAAGAGAGTATCACACCGAAGACAACGCGGAACTTGCCTTGTTCCCGTGGCTCTGGATGATCTCCCGCACAAGTGGGCAAATCAAGAGGTCTGGACCTTACCCTCACTGCCACGGTCGCTCGTTCTTACGGTTGATTTGATGAAGTATCCCAGTTGCTGCAGTGCAGTTCGAGTGGCCAGGGTACTAGTTGTCCCTGGTGTTTGCTGCGCGGAGATGAATTTCTGCGAATTCCATACACGGAAGTGATATTTCGGAGGTGATCGCTCCAAGTTGAAAAGTCGAGACAAGAAACCCATACGACATCCGACCTCCCGATGTGTACTTATTCGGTGTCGATTAATGTCTGATTGACCAAGGCAGGGCTTTGCCACCCGGGGCTTGTGCGAGCAGATGGACCAGGACAGTGGGTGTTGAGGCACTGCATCTGACTGACATGAGCGTACGTCCGGTTCCTTGTGTGGACGGGGCAGGCATGACGAGTCCAGAAGTCTGGCTAATCCCAAACGTCGGAGCCGACTTACGGCAAATCGAAGTTGTTTCTGAAGGGCCAAGAGCCGATATATTCGAAGACGTAGGGTTAAGCATCTATCAAGCTATTAGCCGAATAAAACACATGGGAAGGATCGACAAATAGGAGCGCTATGGCAATCAAAGCCGCCTACTGGTGCGGGGAATGAATTCATTTTTCATTATCCGGGGAAACTTGTGAAGTGCGCTATGCCACGGCCCAATCAATATGTCGCAGGCCCTTGAAAAACCGCCGCGCAGTAAGAAGCAGATGCAGGGGCCATAAATATTCAAGAGTGATCGACGATTACACGTTGGGCAACGGAGCATAGAGGTACGCTTCGCTCCTGAGTTCGACTCTCTCCAAGAAAAACAGGCTGCAAGTTGATGGACTACGCGGCCTGTAATTTGAAACATGCTATTTTGGAATTCTCGCCAGGTTCGATAGTGCCATGCCTGCTGGCTAGACTAGGAACAAGATGCAGAGGAGCATGGTGACATAGCACCTCATCTCACGCCAACCTGGTGCACATTGACGGAATAGAGAGGTTGAGAACTGATAGGCAATGATGGGGAGCCGTCGAATCACTCGGGTCAGCTGACTTGCAGACATGGCCGATGCTTCCTGAAGATTTTCTTTGCCCTGGGAACAACGGGCACGATGCGATCAAGGAGTCCGTACTCTTCGCACGGTGGTGCAATTGCTGTGAGGTACACGGGCAAGCTTGCCACAGGCTCAAACCGACGAATTGGCTTCGGATACAAACGAGGACAGGTTGGTGCACTGTTGCATTCTAGCGCCTCTGCTTGAGGATGTAGTCGAGCCAACGTCGAGGTGTGGTGTTGTGGAGAGGAGTCAAGACTGCGATTCGTGGCTTGACGCGTGAACGCTAATGTCCCCACCTCGACTAGCGCGGGCGGTGAAACCCCGGCCCGGCTCAAAAAAGTTCAGTTGCGACTGCTGCAAGTGTGCAGTGCGAAGTGCGACCACAGAAACATCCTGCAACAATGGCCGGAATTAAACGCAAATCCGTCGTGTCGACCACTGCCGACGCCAAGGGCAAGAGCAAGAAAGTCAAAGTTGAGAAGCCGTCGTCTAAATCCAGTTCGAAGCACGCCGTGAAGCCGGCGAAGAAGTCGAAGAAGGCAGAGAGCTCAGATGAGTTGGAAGAATCGGACACCAGCGAGCAGGAGAACGGATTCTATGGCTTCTCTGCGAAAGAAGACACCGAAATGAGAGACGCGGACAGCAGCGACGAGGCCGAGCCAATGGAAGATGCAAAAGAGAGCGGCAAGGCGCACAAGCGCAAGTCGGAAGACAAGTCTACAGAGCAAACGAAGAAGCCTAAGAGCGATGCGCCAGTGGACTCCAAGCTGGCTGAACTCAATGGTGCGTAGGTCGAGGCTTCGATATCCAGCCAAACTAACTTCCTCGACAGCGAATAATTCCCGCGAGGCCCACGCAAAACAGAAAGCGCTCGCGAAAGAACGAAAGGCCGCGAAACCTAATGCCGACGTCATCGAACGCTCGAAGAAGCTCTGGGAGAAGTTGAGACTCAAGTCGCACATACAGAAGGATGAGAGGAAAGAGCTGGTGAAGGAGTTGTTTGAGATCATTGAAGGACGAGTGAAGGACTTCGTCTTCAAGCACGACTCGGTGAGAGTCATCCAGACGGCGATCAAATACTCGACAATGGAGCAGAAGAGGATGATTGCGCGCGAACTCAAGGGCGAATTCCGGACTCTGGCAGAGGGCAAATACTCCAAGTTCCTGATTGCGAAGCTTGTCGAAAAAGGGTGAGTTGGCCAGCTACATCGATACATACATTTCCTAACCCTCATAGCGACCCGGAGATTCGCGACCTGATCATCCAAGAGTTCTACGGTTACGTCAAGCGTCTCATCAACCATCCTGAAGCTGCGTGGATCCTCGACGACATATACCGAGCAGTCGCGACACCGGAGCAGAAGGCGCGCCTTCTCCGCGAGTGGTATGGAGCCGAGTTCTCTATCAAGGGCCTCGAAGCACAAGGCACAGACAGCGCAGAGCTGTCCGTGATTCTGGCAGAGTCACCAGAGAAGAGGAAGCCCATCATGGGATATCTCGAGAATCAGATTAACTCGCTTATTCAGAAGAAGCTGACCGGATTCACGATGCTTCACGATGCCATGCTACAGTACTTCCTCGTGTGCGAACCTGGCACAGAACAAGCAAACGACTTCCTAGAGCACTTGAAGCCTGATCCCACGATCAAAGAAGGCGAAGAGGCAGACAATGTTGATCTTCTGAAGAACCTCGCATTCACAAAATCAGGATCGCGACTCATGTCACTATCCTTCGCATATGGCACCGCAAAAGACCGCAAGCTGTTCCTCCGACCCTACAAGGACAGTGTAGAGCTCATGGCATACGACGTCAATGCACATCACGTCCTACTTGCCGCACTGGCTGTCACCGACGACACGAAGCTCTCGTCCAAATCAATTTACGGCGAACTTCTGCCAAGCAACGATACGCTACCAGAAAAGGTCCTGAATATCGTCAACGATGCTCGTGCCCGCACAGTTCTCCTCTTTCCGTTTGCAACAGATGCCAAGTGGCTACTCGACGACAACACACGCGAGCGACTCAACGAGATCTACGCCATCCGTCAGACCACATCGAAGAAGGACCCAAGTTTGCGCATGCAAGAAGTCGCAAAGCACATCGAACCGCAGCTACTCAACGCCATTACCGCACGCGCATCCGACTTTGCATCCTTCACATTCGGCTTGCAATTCATGGGCGAAGTCCTCGTTGGCGCACCAGAGGTCGAGCCCGCGAAACGCAAGGAAGCGCTTACTGAAGTGGCACGCCTCTCGCAATCCATTCTCGACTCCTCTCTTCCAGCTTCGGCGGGCGACAACAAGGCCTCGAGCCACGGAAAGAACATGCTCAAGACACTTGTGCAGGGCGGCAAATTCGATCCGGCAACAAAGAAGGTCGTGCCTGTTGAGCCCGCGCTTGGTTTCGCGGATTTGTTCTGGGACGAGGTCAAGGAGAATGTGATTGACTGGGCGACTGGACAAGGATCCTTCGTCATTGTTGCATTGACCGAGACCGAAGGGT